AGAGGGAGAAGCAGACTCCCTGCCGAGCAGGGAGCCCGATGCGGGACTCGATCCCGGGACTCCAGGATCATGACCTGAGCCGAAGGCAGTCGCTTAACTGACTGAGCCACCCAGGCGCCCGACTTAAGCTTTTTATGTAGAGAAGCTGGTTAGAACACAAAACCAAAGCAGTATTTTGATAAATTCACTTTAAAGTGTTTTCCATATCAGCTACTTCAAACTAGTGACAACAATATGACCTTCTACTCCCAAGGAGTCGGATCGGATTAAAAACACTGAAAACAAACACGCAGAACCAGCAGGTCTGGCCGTGCGAGCTGACTTTGTGTGAGGTCAATCTGCCGACCATCAGTTGTATCTGAGTTCACCAGGGGCTACAGTGTGGTTCTTTAGTATGCTTCCATTGTGAACTTACTTCTTTGAATTTAAGCTTTTGGGATGATTTCTGCAATATGAGTCTTTAGCATCTTAAAAAATTTCACGAAGAGATTAAGAAAGTTCCAAGTATTCCAGAAGCTACTGGTATAAAAATCATGTTTCTTCTATCAGATTCAACTGTTCAAAAGCTGTAATGTGCATGGTCATCACCTGAGTGAGCTGCATTAAGTGGCTCTCAGCCCATGGCACTTTGCCCTTACACACTCAAGGGAGCCAGCTTGAGTGTAAGTGAACACTCGGTTGCATAACAATGAAGGAGGGCTCAGGAAAACTGGGTACTTTTTTGATCAGCTCAGGCTTAACAACGGTCAGAAGTACTCATTTTGACTTATATATACATCCTTGAATAGAGACCCACACAGATAGATGCATAAGAATATAATCATTTCTGTTTTCACAAAGTACTCACACTTCGATAAGTCACAAGTTTATATAAATTTTCATACCAATTTGTGAATTCAAAAGTTCTCTCAAAAAGAATAGGAGATAATCCTCATTCTAGATGGAAATGGGCACTGTTGTTCATGGTGTCCAGAAATTGTTGATGTGGCTACATTGAGACACAGGTTATGCTTCCATCACAGCAAGTTTATTGTCGTGGTAACAATGACGACTGTAACATTTCTGTTACGACTTTTCAACATTAGAAACAATTAGATCTATTTGCCAAAATAGCAATCAGTGTACTTCTACAATTTGACTTCTAGGGCCCTGGAGTAAAGACATTGGATCCCAAAGATTACAGGTGGGGAGTTTTTGAAGTATGTCCATATTCAAGTGGAGATTGAAGAAGCCCAACCGAAAGAACTCTGGACGGACAGTGACAACTGTGGACTGAACAAGTTCTTTTTAAAAGGGCTATTTTGAAGATTATGATTCTGACTTCGGAGGAACTATGGTGATTGGAAGCGGAAGGAATCACATGTAAAATTCCTTAAATAAAAATTTATTGACTTAAAAAAAAAAAAGAATAGGAGATACTGCTTTTTGCAATCAGTTTGGGATGAGAATACTTTTGATACCACAGGAATAAAAATGGTGTTCTCCCTAGGTTTTAAATTTCTCTTATCCATTTATGACATTTTCTCATTCATATGCTAAATTCTGCCCATCCTCACATTAACTTACTATTATTACCAAAATACCTTTAAACTAGGTGTATATATATACAGGTGCATACATGTACAAGTACTAAATTGAACCTCTTGAAACTGTTAATACTTGACATTTTCTGATGTATGAAAGTAGTTTTTTCACATGGTTGAACCTAATAAAATATGAACTTTAGTTGGATGCCTACATCTCCATATATATATGTATATACTGTATCCTTCTACACACACACACACACACACACACCACGCAGTATTTTCTGTTTACTTCAACAGGAAGAATGAAAATCTTTCTCTATTCACCAGTTCTAATGCAGCCTTGTAAAACTGTACTTGCTGACTGATTTTTAATGAAAATATTTAGAGGTATAGTAATTTCCACAAATTTAGCATTTGACCAAATAAAGTCTGGTCCAAACTGGGCACACTGTCTTTGAAAGTACGCCATCCAACTATGTAATTGGGGCAGCCTATCCTGAAAGATGGCTTTTATAGGCTTACGGTCGGGTCTAGAATCAGCAGGCCAAGTAATAAAATGCCAAAGCATTTTTAATTCTTCCTCTGTGTCCTCAATAACATTTCCCACAGTGCCTACCCTGAGACACTATCAAGCACCAGTAAAAACGACAGGCCCCAGACCTTGCTTTCAAGGAACTTAACATCTTTTTAAGAGATATAAAAATATAAATAATGAGAGGATAGTCTAAGTTTTAAGTTTCAAACTGGGACAGAGTAAAATGTAAAAAGATGATAGCACTTGAGAAGTTTTAAACGGACTTCAAACACCACGGGCAAAAAGCCAACTACAAATGTGTAGGGAGCTCCAAGTCCGTCCATATGATAATCACAGGTGTCCTCCTCCATGGTTCTGGGCCCAACACGCCCTTCCTCACCCCAGAAACAGGGACTAGAGATCCTCCAGATCAGTTAGATCCACAGCCACTTTCAGGAACACGGTGTCATCTTTAATGTAGGTGTTCTTGGCATTCTCCAAAGTGGAGTGAGCCACAAAACGGGGGCAGCCAGACGCGATGTTCATCTCCCCGTCGGGTCTTTTAAAGCTACTGCTGCTGGGGTCGGCCTTGAAGGTCTCCATAATGTGGTTCTTTTTGCCACTCTGGTCCAAAAGCATCAGGGTCACCCTCTGCCTGAATGGCCACTGCAACAGGGAGTCAAACTCCCCTCGCATGACCACGAAGTACAGCGACAGGTGTGTCCCTTTCCCAGACCCGTCCCCGTTCAGGTATGCTCTAGCACAGAGCCGGTAGCCGCACCGGCTGGTATAGAAAGGCTGGCTGAAGATGGACACCGTGTGCCCGTCCTGTGCCTCTCTCTTCTTCATCTTATAGTCCGTCACCTTCCAGATGAGCTTTCCATTATAGCAGGCCCCTTCCAGCAGCTTAAATCGCTCTTCATTTTTATTCAGTTGGGCTTTATGGATATTAATGTGGGCATCATGTTTGTTAGTCTCTCCTTCCAAAACAACTGCAAAGGAAAAAAAAAAAAAAAAGCTTCCAGAAGCCTTAAAGCTGTCTTTAGAATTTGCCCAAAGTGGAATTTGGTATCTGAAGAGAACCAATAAAATTCTGACATCTCATGATGAACCGAATTCATTGTCCACCAATGGACCATTTGTATTAATAATTAACTCAATGAATCTTGTGTCTTGGAAGAAAACCCAAATGCATACTCTTGAACGGAAGCTCACCAAAGTGTAGAGAAGACACACAGCATTGAACTAGTGTGCATTAGCAAGGTGAGCCCCATTATTTAATAACTGGAATGCTTTTAAACAGCCAAAAACCCTTTTATATTTTTTTATACTTAAAACAATGTTTCTGCCACATCTCTCTCTTAGCTTTCTCATTATTTTCCACTCTCCTTAAAAACCACCACTCCCTGTTTCTGGAATTTCCTGGCCCATTTCCACCCCTTGCCTGTTCCAGCCCCTGCCCATCACCCTCCATCACTCCCACCCCCGGCCCCCCGACTGGCCAGAATCTCATGCTGTTCTGTTTCACAAAAACCAGATTCGACCACTGTTTATCCTGGACAGCTGCAACTCTCCCTTTGGCCAGGTGCAGACAACAGAATCATCAAAAGAGAAGTAAAAATATGAGACATACCTAGTCTCTGATCATTGGTTTCTAGCAGGGTAATTTTCTGTTTCACTGTATCAATCGCTTCCACCAAAGGCCTCAGATCAAATTTATTTTGTTGCTGGTTAGCCATTTGTAATAACTGACGCACTTGAGCTTCTAGCCAAGCTGACTTGTCAATGTGAGTGGCGAGAACCTTTCAGTACAGCACGGATCATAATGTCAAAAAAAAAAAAAAAAAATCGTTACTATCTTAGTAACGATTGAATTTAGATTGAATTTTTTCAACTCAAACATTTCACATTTAATTAATCAATTAATGAAATGAAAAAGGCACAGTCCAGAAGAGAAAATTCAGTGAGGATCACAGAGAGATGAGCCACCTAATATCTTCCTCCTCCCTGCCCCAGCTGCTGTTCCAAATCTTTGAACTTCTCTTCATCTGACTTTTACTCCTCCCTCAATTTCTCTCCGTTTGGTTCTCTGACCTATCTTTGTATCTCTAGTCTCCTGTTGTCTCTCCTCTTGCCTTACAACTTCCTTCTCAGAGGCTACTCTCCTGATCCGCTCCTGCTCTCCTAGAAGGCAGAGAATGAGCTGGAAGTAGACCCGACCGTTCTGGCGTGAGCACTAGAGGTTGTACAAAGTGCCCTGAGGTAAGACCTAACTTTTGATTGTTCTCCTTAGATGGAAGAGATTAAATAAAACTAGACCTATATTACTCCTCTACCCTTGCCCCTTAGTACCTTAACTCTGACGGATTTCTGTGTTAGCTAAGGTCAGAATTGAGATAGTGACGTATGATGGATTTCCTTTTTTTCTTTTTTCTTTTTTTGGGGGGTGGGGCTTTCCTTTTTTTCTACACACACAGTATGCTGACAAAGTATGGAAAATATATGGCCTGCCTTTTTCTGGGAGAGTCTACATTTCAAAAATATTACTCGTGTGCCACAGGTCTTAAAATATTTTTCACTATCAATTTTGTAATCACAATAAAGACATTAGTCATTAGAAATGTGTTTATGGTTATTTAACAGTCATGATTTGCAAGGTAATTTTTGCTATATTTTAGTATTGTTTAAAGCATTTTCTTCCCAAGGGAATGAATAGTTTCGCTTTGTTGATTGCAAAATGCAGAACTACAGATATTCTCAATGAAGCTGACATCAAGGGACTAATATTGGCCCAACATTAACTGCAACCCCAACGATCATAAATTGTATAAAAGTATTATATCAATGTTAAATTTACTGACATTGTTGAATGTTGAGGTTATGTAAAAGAAGATCTTTGTTCTTATGAAATACATACCGAAGTTTGTAGGGGTAAAGGGCCCTAATATACACAGCTTACTCTCAAATGGATCAGAAAGAACACACACGCACATACCGTGACAGAGAGAGATAGGGGACAAAATACTGACAATGGGTGAATCTGGGTGAATACACAGGTATTTTTAAGCACTATCTTATTCTTGTAGCTTTTCTTTACATTTGAAATTATCTCCACTTAAGAAGCTGTAAGGAAAACCTGGACTGCCAGTTGAAGGCTAAATCTTGGCTATGAATAGAGAGGCCATTTCTCACCTGGATGTTTGAGAGGAAGCTTCCATTTTTGCCAAACAGCTGTGCAAACTGCTTGAACTCCTTTTCGAATTTCTTTACAGTTTCTGCTAGCTGCTGGATTTTACTCTCTTTCTGCTCTAGGCTCTTATATAAATCAGAAATCTAATAACAGGAATGTGAATGAGATCATTTAAATGCATGTATACAAGTTAAAATAATGTAAATACAGGTCTAGGAAAATATTGCAGGTAAGAAAGTGTTTCTAGAAAAATATATACATATATACATATATATACATTTCTAGGAAAATTTTTACCAGTAGGTTCCTATATAATATTTGCAGGTACTTCAAAAAAACCGGATCCAAAGATTTCTTGTCAGTCTTTTCCATACTTACCCAGCTATGATGGTTCATCTAATGATAGTGACATCACTTGACTAAATTTACTGAACTGGTTCTCTTCATTCATTCAGCACGCACTTAGGAACAACCACAGAGTACCGATCACCATACCACAATAGATGCTATCTGCACAGTATCAGTAGTAACAGCTGAAATTTGCTGAATGTCTGTCATACCCTTATATTCATTAGCTCTTTTAATCCTCAAAGAACCCCATGAGTTGGGTATGACTATCAGTCCCATTTTACAGACAAGGAAACAGAGGCAGAGAGTTAAGTAACCTGCCCAGCATACAGCTAGCTTGGCAAGTGGTAGGCAAAACATGTTACGTTCTAAAAAAAAAAAAGAAGAAGAAGAAGAAGAAGATAGCAGGAGGGGAAGAATGAAGGGGGGAAAATCAGAGCGGGAGACGAACCATGAGAGACGATGGACTCTGAAAAACAAACTG